TCGTTCATATCAACATCCTGGGCACGACTGTGGTGGGGAAGACATCCCATATTTCATTTAGATTACAAGTTTATGAGAATTATTCCTTGACTGGGGGCAATCTTCACCCTAAATAACGCTTCCTCAGTGTCTCCTCATTGTACTGAAGTACCTCATTGATTAGATGAGGAAGCTGATCTCTTTAAAGCTCAATACATGTGTTGTTTTACAAGCTCGCATGGAGAACACCCATGCTAGGAGAAAAAGAATAAAAAACAATGAATAGCAAGTTGTTAAACATTTTTCTTGAGTATGATTGCAACCCTATTTTCAAGAAAACATACGCTCCATAATGACCTACGCCCTAGTCCCGAGAAACACATAGCATCTCTGACAGCTCATTCTAGGCATAATCGAACCTAAGGGGACTCGATTCGACCTCTTCCAATACAGACTACCATCATCAAGCAAAAAAATTGACATACAACCTCAAATATACAACCTCAGATAGGTCAAAAATCCTTGGTGGATTCCCTTCGACCTGTTCCATTAAGGCTATAGTCGTCAAGCAAATGCTTCGACATATAACCTCGGATAGGTCAAAAATCCTTGGTGGATTTCCTTTAACCTCTTCAATAACATGTTACGATCGTCAAACAAAAGCTTCGACCAACAACCTAGTATAAACAACCATCATCAATGTATTTCATATGACTATTGCTGGTTAATACCACCGAGCATCTCTGGTTATACAACTAGAGCTGGTCTTACATCCTCAATGAATTCTCCCTTCAACTATGCCCCTGGAAGTCAAACACAGAAGACATGACCCAATAAGAAGCTACCATGCCGTTGGAAGACGAACCCAAGCGGGTTTTCACTGAAAATCCTTAGAAAGCTACGAGCCTTGGAAGATACTGGTTTCTTTCAAATTTCTATAAAGCATAAGCCCAAGAGGGCACCACCTCGGAAAGCATAAATCACATAAGGTAAGCGTCTGTTCATTTTAAAAAATGTGTGCTAACTTTAATTGCAGAACTTTATATGGTTGAGAAACCACTGCAACCTCATAAACAATGTAAAAGACGTACAAAAAATATATTGTTATCATCTATAAATGTCAAATCAAAAGACTACATTGACCAAAATATACTTGTACAAGATCTAGAACAAATCCTGTCATTTTTGAGTAAAGTCGACATCACCTCCCTAAAACTAATGTACTTTTAATGATCGTCGGGGAGTTTTCAGATATCGCAACCACATAAGCATGAAAATCTTCCCCTTAAAGCACGGCGGGAAAACTACAACATTTCTTCATCACCTTCAGAACGTGCAAGAGCGACACGAGAATCTCTTCTAGAATGCGCGACATCAACAAGAAAAAATATCTCGTTGTTTGTCTGCTACACAGCGCGGTGACAACTTTCCTTTGCACTGCAACTCGCCACAGTAACTCTACAACGTAACTCGTCACCGCAACACATCGCCACGACACTCCGCCGCAACGCGTGGCTGTGACGCTCCTCTGCAACGCCTCGCCGTAGCGCACCACCTCAACGCGTCGCGACCCCGCGACGTTTTGCCACAACTCCCCACCGCGACGTTTTGCCACAGCGACGCTTCGTTGTGATGCTTCGTCACAACGCGTCGCCCCAACACTCCGTCGTCACGTGTCGCCAAGACGCTCTACAACAATGCTGGCGCCGCCACACTTTGCCGCGATGCACTGTCACAACGCGTTGTCACGCCGCAACACGTCACGTTTCTACAACGCCCCGCCGCGACTCACCGCAGCAATGCGTCGCGCCGCCACGACGCACTCCGCATCGCATCGTGTCGCTGTGTCACGCTGTCGCGACCTACCGCCACAACTCTACCCTCTCTCTTTTAAGCCTATTTATAAACTCAAAAAAAGCTTTGCATTAAATGCTCATTATTATATAAATTCTAAAAGAAGTGTAAACATTATATGTTCATTAAGAAAAAGAAAAAATTATGACATTTCATATTCCCATTAAAAGAAAAACCTTTCACATTCCTAATAAAATTAATTTAAATCATTAAAAAAAACAAAAAATCTATTCATATTCCCATGACATTAAAAAAAATCTTCTCATATTCCTCATGAAATTAATTTCATTTTAAAAAAAAATCGCTTCTTTATGCGTGTGGAGCATCATGCTCAGTTTATTAATTATATCCATAGCTAAATTATATTTATAATATTTCAAATGGTTATTATTATTATTATTATTATTATATATATACATATATATACTTCAAAGCTTAAAAATAATTTTTAAAAGACTAAAAAATGAGTTTCCACTAAAATAATTCCAATAAGTCAAGAAAAATATATATATATATATATAAAATAAATTAATTAAAAAAACTCCGGATTTTGATATCTTCGGAAGAGAAAAATAATCTCACCTGAAAATAGAAGGGCAACTGATACGCCACCAACAAGTTTTTATTATTCAGCATGAATCTCGGAACATAACACAAATCTAGAAATAATATTTTGAGCAAGGGTGTTCAAACCTCTATAAAAACTCATCCATATCTCTAATTTCAACAAACTTATAGTCAAAATGATCCGTTCGATGAGACACCCTAATGATATCAAAGTCATTCCAATATGAGTCAAATCAAACTCAGATCAAGTCATTATACCATTCTGAGATGATTTTCAGACATATTTGGAAGGTCAAATAGTTGTCGAATATGAAAAGTTTATAGTCAAATTAAGTGTCTCGACAAGTCGAATCCAACGAGCCCAAGATTGCGTAATTATGACATCGTTAAGACACTCAAATGTCCATTAAATGTATTTTGGTCGTAGGAAATTTTTCGGACCGTCTGATCAAAATGATTCATATTTATATATTAAGAACACCCAAAACACTATAAGTAGAGCTTCATCCCACACATGAGGGGAAAGACTTGAAGCTTCAGAGAGAACTAGAAGCTCTAAGAAGGAGCTGAAGTCCAACACCATCCAGACCGTTGTTGGCCACCGCCGATCACCATCAACCATCGTCAGTTGTTGTCGACACCTGTCGATCGCCATCAGCCATTGTCGACCGTCACCGTCGATCACCGTCAATCATCGTCGATCACCACCAACCAGACGACTTCAATCACCGTCGTGGGACATGAGCTCATCAATACGATCCATGTGTCAACAACGACCTACGTGGTTCATAGCTCGTGCAGCTCCCGCCTCTGGCCCCAACAGTTTACGGATGTCATTCATACTCGCCCCTACGACTTAAGTGGTTCATAGCTCGTGCAGCTCCAGATTCTGGCCCCCATGGCCTACAGAAGTCAGTCACACTCGCCCAAACGACCTACATGGTCATCAGCTCATGCAGCTCCTGACTCCGACTTTCCCCACCTTCGGATATCATTCATATTTGCCTCTATGACTTACGTGGCTCACAGCTCGAGCAGCTCTAAACTCCGGCCCCTGCGGCCTTTAGACGTCATTCATACTCGCTACTACGGTCTATGTTGTCCATAACTCCCGTAACTGCTTACTACAGTTTCTTTGGTCAATTAAAGCTTCTATAACAACCATCTATAACACTTATGATAGACTACTACTTCCATAACATTCAACAATGACCTTTCCAACATGTTGTCATCAAGAACTGCTGCTAAATTATAGTTATACAACTTTGTAATTCCATCTTCCTTAGTTTAGGAGACGAATGAACCTCTGTACTCATCATTCATAGTGGATTATTTCAACTGGCTAGGCGCCGTGGTTTTTCTCCCTTTCAAGGGTTTTTTAAGTAAAAAGTCAAAGTGTCTCTCCTGCTTATTTCTTTTCTGCTATCTTTCTTTGTTGAATTCTCGTGCAACGCTAAGATGATAATCCCTTACTCTACCGCCGTGAATTTTCTGGCACGCATCAACCACAAAATTAAACTGATATAAATATATTATTATATAAATAACTATATGATTTTTTATTTCGAGCTAAAACGAGACAAATAAAGAGCTATTTGTGTTTGTTTCGTTTATAATTCGAGCTTAAAAAAATTAATCGTGTTCGGCTCGTTCGTTAAGTGAACTAGCTAAATACGAGATACTTAACAAGCCGAACACGAGCTCTTGCGAATAACGATCTTTTTGGATAGCCCAACTCGTGCCACTCCCCTCTTCGAGGTATGAAGTTACGGGCATTCCACGATCCAACATGTAGCCCATTTTAAGTCACTAGTATTGTAAGGGGTGAACCTAGCTAGGGTTTGAAGGGGTGGCGTACTCAAATTTAAATTTTTACTTATATCAGAGGATAATTTGATCTTTTGTGCCTTTTGAAATATTTATTTAGCTCATTTTGAAATATTGCTTTGGACTTCTTCTTGGCCCCTCCCACGTTAGATTTAGGGGGGACAGTGTATCCCCCAAGAAAATAAGTTGTTTCTGTCCCTCTCTACTATTGTAGAGCTAATTTGCCAAAAGACAAGCTGATTCCGCCACTCTATTGTAGATCAAGTGAATTCAAAATGATATGCTATGTATTTGCATTGGAGTTTGAAGGTTAGTCTCTTATATTATTTTTCTTTCCTAGTAAAAAAAAGAAAATTTCCGATAAATCTATTGAAAAGAGAACTAGGAGTAGGATCTAATGAAGAATTATTGTTGTTCAACTTAATATGATCAATCAATTGTCAAAAATATCATTTATCATTCAACAAATCGACACCGTTCTTAATTTATCGTTCTAATTAAAGGCTTAAAAAAGTATTAGGTCCGAATAATTTATATCCGGACGATAGCGTTCCGTCCATATCGCACTCAACGTTAAGAAACGAAACGATGTCAACCGTCCGTACAGAAATACACGGCTGGGATGGACTGTCCAGAAGGATGCTCATTTCATCTATCTTTTGTTTCTCCAAATAAAAAAAAAAAAAAGAAAAAAAAGAAAGGAGAAAGTAAACTGAAGCAACTTGACCGTTACATCCAGAAGGTCGGCATCGTAATTCAAGCCCCGGCCTCTCTTTTTTTTTTTTTTCTGATTCCCTTCCCTGCAACCGCTTTATTCGCTGCGCGTCCTCTGTTCTTTATTCCATTGTCCTCTTTTTAGCCATCATCACAGAAATGCTGAAGCGAAGGCAAGAAGAAGCAGAGGAAGAAGGTGCCCTGAGCCTCATGGCCAGGAGCTCATCTGCAAAAGAGGATGGTGGCGGCTGCCGAGCAGGCGATGAAGGAATAAAGAAGGGTAATACATCAGAAGTAGATGGACACCCTTATGACTTCCATGTCTCCGGTCCCCGCAACCTTTCCTCTCCGAATTGGAAGGATCTTATACGCTCAAGCTGGTTCGCTCTTCTCTCATCCCTCTTCTCTCTTTATTCATTCCAGAATTCCATTTTTGTCTCAAATTTTTGTGTTTACTTTTCTTCTATTGATAGTGCTCTGTAAGCATTGGATTTTTTTTTTTCGTAGTTTTCAAGAAATTGGATAGTGCGATTTCTCGGGCTTCTTATGATGACGGATTCGGATGTTTTACCGTATTTTCTTTCCTTATATGCCTTGTGATGGAAATCTTGACTTCCGCGCCTATCTGGTCTTGTTTCTGAGATCTAAAAGCAAAAGAAGCATTCTTCCTTTAATTCTTTCCTTAATTTGTCTCAAATCACTGCAGCCTAACAAATTTCTTTCTTTTCTTCAAGCATTCTCATTTCATTTTTGGCAAATACTTGACGCTTTTCTTTTTTGAAATTCTACGCAATTTACATCATTGCTTGCTTGGATCACAGGAGGGATCCCAATTACAAAAGAATGGTGATTGCCTGTCTCATCCAAGCAGTATACTTGCTCGAGCTCGATCGACAGGAAAAGCGTACCGAAGAGAACGGCCTTGCCCCGAAATGGTGGAAGCCCTTCATGTACAAGGTAACACAAACACTAATAGATGACAGAGACGGATCCATCTATGGCGCCATTCTAGAATGGGATCGTTACGCGGCTTTATCGGGCTTCATAGTGGTGCGACCCAGTGGCGCCCCAAGAGCTGTGCTCGCTCTCAGGGGAACCATTCTTAAGAGCCCAACACTTCGAAGAGACTTGGAAGACGATCTTCGTTTCCTCGCTTGGGAAAGCCTCAAGGGTTCAGTCAGATTCTCTGGAGCTCTCGCAGCACTGAAATCAGCAGTTGATCGGTTTCGGAGCAGCAACGTATGCATCGGGGGGCATTCATTGGGTGCTGGATTTGCTCTCCAGGTAGGCAAGGCATTGGCAAAAGAGGGAGTTTTTGTGGAGTGCCATTTGTTTAACCCTCCTTCTGTTTCACTTGCGATGAGTCTGAAGAGAATTGGAGAGATGGCTGGGTCTCTTTGGAGCAGAGTCAGGGCGGTGCTGCCCTCGCGAGACAGTAAAGTTGTGCTCACAGAGAAGAATGCGGAGGCTGGACCTGTGAAGATTCAGTGCACTGAGATCAGCAAGTGGGTGCCTCATTTGTATGTGAACAACAGTGACTATATTTGCTGCTACTATAGCGATCCTTCTGTGGCTGTGGTTACTGGAGATGGTGGTGGTATGGGCAAGGGGAAAGTTGATGGAGGGGCTGCAGCCATAGCAAAGCTGTTTGTAATGTCGAATGGACCAAAGAAGTTCCTTGAAGCTCATGGTTTGCAGCAATGGTGGTCTGATGACATGGAGCTTAAGCTAGCTCTTAACCACAGCAACCTCATCAATAGGCAGCTGAGGTCCTTATATACTGTTTCTTGAACTCATGGTCTGCAGCAATGGTGGTCTGATGACATGGAGCTTAAGCTAGCTCTTAATCCCAGCAACCTTTTCCATGAGCAGCTGAGGTCCTTGTATACTGTTCCAGTTGCAGCAGTGAAGATGTGTAAGGGATGATTTTCTGGTTGTTAACTCTGTTCATTTCTGCTGAAATCGATTCCAAGATTGGTTCAGTAAGTGTTGTTGAATCAACGTGGATGTTAGATAAGTTGAATTCTTTTTGAATTGATGGCTGCAGCTTTTCTGATGTTTGAAGTAGCCTTTCAGCTCCACAGAAAGAAATTCGTCAAGTAAATTTGCTATTAGTAATTCGATGAGTGCTCGTTTAGGTTAGTTTAATGTTTATATTATTATGCTGCTTATGTCTTTATTTCTTGTCTTATGACCTTATCACTGAATAGTTTCTCCTTTTTTTGCACATAATTTACTCTTGAAATGGCCAATGTATCTGAAACTTGGGCCAATAACTCCGGAAAAACTTTGATGAATTTCATCAGATGATACGGTTGAAGATTTGAGCAATGCCTTTATGGCCATAAAATCAAAAAATTTAAAGCATTTGTATGGACGGAATTTGTACATCAACAGCACTTTTTTTATGACAAATATCAAAGAGATGACCACTTAATCAAAGCTACACCAACTGAAACTTGAGTACTGTTTTTTCTTTATTCGAACAACCTAAAGTAGATCTATTGAAATGATGAATGAATAGGTGTTATAATTGTTGTATTTATGATTTTTA